ACGATTCCGCCATCCGAATTCGCCCACCAACAATTCTGTCATCTAAGCCCGCATCTGAGCCCTCCTCCTTCGATCTGTGTCGATATCTTGCCTTGGCGCAAATCCCTGTTCGAATTCCACTCTAACCCCTCGACAAGCAATTGAGCAGAGCTTAATATGGATGAAACTCGAGCTCGAAACTCGATAAGATCGACTCGCGAGTTTGCTAACTAGTTGACTTTGACTTAGTTGCACCCATAATCTATATATTCAGGGGGAGGATTCAGCCTCAGTTGGCTCAGTTGCACCCCTCCGTCGCTAAACAACATTTTTTCTCATCATTGTCGACCGCCGACTACGGTCCATCAGAAATTCGTTGTCAGATAAAGGTCTTTCTGATCACTGTAGCCGGCCGACTATGGTCCTTCCGACCTCCATCCCCAGACACAAGTCTTTCCGGCCTTGGTCGCCTACCGACTACAACCCTTCCGACTTCCGTCACCCGTCGACTATGGACTTTCCGACCACTGTCACTCGAGTATGATATTTCCGTCCTCGTTGACTATGGTCCTACCAACCAAAAGAACATGTCAATGATTATTTCTTCTAATTCCCACTATTTAATGCAGCTCCGAAAGGGTCTCATTTGTAATCGATTGTAAAATAGTAGTAGATTCATTCAAACTGGGTCAGACCTTATGGTTTTTTCCATCTTTTGAAGGATTTCCACTTAAAAATCTCTGGTGTCTCTTATGAACACTATACCTTCTCTTTTATCAGATTGTGTGCTGGAATTTCGTACAAAATTAAGACGGTAAATTTTATATTTCTCTATCGCCACGAATATTTCACGACGCAATAATAATTAAACAGTAATGAGAATAATTTTGGAGAGGGTTAGACAAACTATATGTTGATAGTATGAATTCCTAAAAATTAACATTTTTCTTAGAGTTGAAGGTTGATAAATGCCCGCCCCTTCAATTTGGTTATTCTCCTATACATAAGCATAATGTTACTGGTACACTTAAAAAAATAAAAAATAAAAAAATAAAAAAAAAATAAAAAAAAATTGTTACTGGTACACTTCATCTCTAAGACAGATATTGAGTCCGAATATGAATATGATTCATGATTGTGTATTTAAGTATTATTTTAACACTTATAAATTATATTAAAATAAATTTAATATTATAAATATATGTATTTCGTACATAATATTAATATCAAAATAAAGTCTATATAATGAGGTATATTAATACAATAATTTCCATTCTAAAAATAATATCTGCGTTCTTAATCATTACGGTTATAATTAGTAAATATCATTTATATTAATGAGGTATTAAGAGATGGATTTAATCATTGCGCCGTCTCTATCATCCAACTATTTACTTTTAATCACGCCCTCATTTTCAAACAGGCAAAAGCTGCCATTGCCTCCGTCTAATAAAGAAACGCGGAAAAATATAGGGCAACAATATTCGAATTAAAAATTTAATTATAACAATTAAATTTAAATGCTGAATTTTATTCTGACAAAATAATTATAGTAAAAAAATTAATTATTTATATATTACATTTATTTTCAAATAAATCTAATATTGCAAAACATCATTATGAGCAAATTTTGTTTGTAATATTTTGACCAAAAATTTCTACAACTTTAGAATTTATAGCAAAAAATTTGGATTTTCAAAAAATATATATATTAGGATACTTTGACTAGCGAAGATGGGTTAAGATGAATTAAAAAAATTTTAAGTTTATTTTAAATGTGTTTTATAATAATTATTTATGAATTATATTTATTTTAAAATAAATTAAATAATTTAGAATTTAATTTGAGACAATTTTCTCATTATTTTTAAAGTTGTTGTTGATAAAATAATTTTTAAAAGTTATTGTATAAAACAGCTTCCTAATATAAATATTTTTAGAAGAACAAAAAATAATTACCAAATAGAAATTATAGTTACGGTCTTGAAAGGAAAATAACAAAGATGTTGTATTTTACATTCTTTAATATAAGCGGAAATGAAAGCCAGGATATAGAAAATTAAATTGAGAATT